GGAAGCAGAGCCTTGCAATTCCCCCTCAGGTGAGGAGCCCACATCTCCTCAGTGCTGGAAAAGCTGTGGAAATCTTGCTCTTCCCCAGCTCCCCCCTGCAGAGTTCAGGGAGACGTTAACAGAGAAAAATGCTGATGCTTTAACTCCTGCACTCCTGACACTGGCACTGCCCACCACGGCTGTGCCATGCCAGGCCACCTGGGGATGAAGAATGCTCTGCAGCAGACGGGTCACACGACTCCACGTCCCCACGTGCCGGGGACCTCAGTGCTTGCCTGTGCTCTCCAGTAAGGGGGTTTCCAGCTCTGCTCACCCTGCCTGTATCCTCACAGATCACAACCAGGAATAAATCCCACTCTCTGCCTCCTCCCGGCCTGCTTCTTCCCCAGACCTGGCGGGGGATTCCCAACCATGACGGATGTGCAGACAAAGTGGTCCACAAACACTGAACTTCCACCACTCGCAAGTTGGCCGACATCAACCCCGCAACGAGCACCACCCTGGGAGCACCCCAGGACCCCTGGGCTTTCCCGCACTGCTGCTCCCCCTCACGCCTCCCTTCCAAAAGCATCAGGACAGACCCCGAAGACTGAGAGCTGATTCAGACACGTGTGCCCACAAGCGGACTTTGCTCTGAAATTCTCAAGACGCTGTTCACTCCCGTTCGGCTCCCGCGGTGCTGGGTGCTCAGCGCAGCAGCACAGTGACAGGGAGGGAGCGGAGCGGGCGACCTGCCGGGTTCCCACAGGAATACCCAGCACACACAGGCTGCTTAGCTTAAGCCAGCATTGCTTACATTTCACCCCTGAAAACTGCCTTCTTGCTTACTTTCACATTTGTGCCTGTTTATAAAGTAAGAGCCTGGCCCCGAGCCTCCAGGAGAGAAAAAAAACGACTCGGTTGGTATCTTGTGGTCCCACCGACCTCTTTGCTAATTAAACAACTCGCACTGCACACGCTACCAACTTGTTTGTAATTAAAAGCAAAATTGGAGTGTATTAATGATGGCTAGGCCTGAAGCCCAACTGATGTGGCGATTTCCAAAACCCAGCGCAGGAGTCTGCTGCTGCTGCTCTCTGGTGGGATGGTATGGATGACAAAGGGTCTTACCTTGGCCTTGCCTGTACTCTGCAGGATGTGCACCAGTGCAGAAGCCATCTCCTCTTTGTTCTTCACGCTCAGCGAGGGCTCCAGCACTGAGCACAGCGCCATGTAATTGTTAGTGATGTACTCGGCAAACTCTTTGTACATCTCCATGGGAAGAATGCTCATACTCTGGTAGCGTGACTTGATGCGGATCATGGGCCCCGGGGACTTGCCCTTACCGGGGTTGGGGCTGACCACTGGGTACCATTTCTCTACAAACTGCCGGCCCGTGACAGAGCTGACGGAGATGTTCACCTGTCCAATGAAATTGGTCTTGTCCTTCTTTTTCTTCTTGTCAGTCTCTTTGTATAAGTGCACCGTAATGTTTTTGAGCGATGGGAGGTTATTAAATTCAAAGTGCTCCCCCCAAAATACATTATCAGTTTTCAATTTACAGGTAGTTCGTGCATAAAGAACGTCATCCAGGCATAATTCACACAAGTACTTCTTCTTAGCTGGCAGGTCCTTGGCTTCAATAATCCATAACTTTAACATATTCTCTACCCTTCTGCTGTTGTCCTGAAAAAAAGATGCAAAGAAAAAAAGGTCAATAAAAAAAGCACAAAGCCAAGCACAACAAAACTGGAGATATGAGTTCATTATTTTGGATGTGCTAAATGAGCAGAGGCTTAATTACATTTTATTTTAAGGAAATACTGGCTCTCAGGAATTTGCATAATAACACTACTTATGTTAATTTTCCAAATATCACCGTGCTCTCCATGTCTGTTGGTGCCAATTAATATAAGGAACAAGGAAGATAAAACCCCTCCAAATCATAAATGTACCATTTCCCATTCACTGCCAAGAGGGCCTCAGAAGAAACCAAAAGAACCTCACCGATCATTAATGGCTTTTGCAAAAGAGAAGCTATGTTACAGGTGTCTCACAACCATCTCCTTTTTTAGTACAGCTGCTTTACAGCAGCACTGGAGTACATTTTCTTTACTGTAACAGAGCAACAATAAAGGGATCTGAACGCACACTCAGGGATCACCTTGTCCATGGCTGGAATGCAACCACCTCTGGCAGGGAAAGAAGCATTTACAAAACCTCACGATATTTTAGGGCAGAAGTCCAGAGCACCCAACTAAAACATTGAGAGGAATTATGGGAGACAGAGTGAGTTCCACAGGAGAATCATTACAATTCAGAAATAGAAATTTGGCTTGGATATCTTTTAAACAATAATGGAGCAAAGGATACTGTGGATCTTTAAGAGCTCCCCAGTGACGCTGACCTCATCCTGGAAGAACATCCAGGGGCATTTGTTGCAGGAGCAACTTGAAAGATAAAGCACTCGCAGCTGAACCACTGCTAGGGATTCTGCAGTAACCTGTTTTGTTTGGAAACCCCTCACTGAAACAGCAACCACTGCTCACTCTGCTCAGCCTAGGAGTCTGGGCAGGAACATTTCTGCTGGAAGTCCACAATGGGATACTGTAGGTTCAGGAAGTACACACAGGAACTATACAAGAACACTGAATTCCTGACAGAAATATCAAGTCAGATACTGAGAGTTTATTGTCTATGAACTCAAGCAAAGATGGAAAGTTAGCCATCAGTTAATGGCATGTTTTGAGATGAAGGCACACTTCCAAATGAATTTCCACTGAACACTGCGTCTCAAAGCCATAGTGATGTGCCCAGCCCCAACTCACATTCCCAGGACTTCTCTCATGGTCAGTGTGACCACACAGACCTTACGCAGCTCTTTCACATCATTACTACCAGGCTGCTGCACTCGGACAGCACCGGGGTCACTGAACTCCACGTGCAGGAACACGTGGCTAGAGGCAGAAGTCCACCTCTCCCCTCCGCTGCTCCCGTTCTGATATTGAAGGAAATCTTTTACACTGACATTTGGCACTGCGCTGGGAACAATAAACTCTGACACAGAGGGCTCCTTTAGCAACCCGCCAGGCCTGGACCTAACTTGTATGCACAGTTATGTGGCTCTGATGCCAGGAATGAATTCACAGGATCCCACCATTTGTGTCTTCTCTGATCAGCAGAAAAAGACTTGTTGATTGAGCTCATCAGTTGCGAAATCCTGCAGCTGATTAGTCCTGATCAATCTTTGTTAGCTAACTCTAGTGCAGAGAGGGAAAAGCAGCTGTAGACTTTATTTTAGGATATACTTAGTCTTAGTGGGCTGTAAAACCGCATATTGGGTGTCCCTGTGTTCCAGCGAAGAGAAGGATTTGTTTCTGTAGATCCCGGAGAGGATGATTTTGCCACCTGAACTGACTGGAGAAAGGAAAGCTACGTTCCACTACAACCTCAGAGAACTCGCTGCGATGGGCATCTGAGTTGCTCCATTGCTAAAGCAGACACGGCGAGTACTACCAGAGTCAGAAGTGTGATATGTGAACTCTTTAGACTATTCAGTCTTGTAACTTTGCTGGCAGCTACCTGACATCTGTCCCAGAGCTTTTGGGAGGTGGAAAGTCCTACATAAATGCCAAGTATCATCAGTAACAGAGCAAGACTGAAGATTCCTCAGGTCTGATCAATTCTTAGCAACAGCTGAAGCAGCATGTGCTGAGAAAAGAGGGGAAGAAATAATTGGCACTTGCCTGTAAATATAATTGTGGAAGAAAGCAATATGGAAAAAGGCTGACCCATAGTTACACTTACTCACCAAAATGACAATACATCTCCTGCTGCTACTATGCACTGGGCTATAAAATGTAATAACGAGGAACTGAACTATAACAGAGGCAATTCCTCAAAGCCACTACCTTGTTCGGGTGCACGGCACGCCGCAGGTTTTCCATCCATTTATCTCGCTCTGCTGCAGAACGACACGAGAAGCACTTACTTCCTGATGAAGTCGTCACCTACAGGGAAAGGAACAGGATTATGTCTTGACCAGCACACTGCAGACTGTGATTTGGGGGGAGAGGGGGAGTTAGGAAAGATGCCAGTGGATTTTTTTTTTAAGTAAACAGCTTTACCCAAGCATGAAGCAACAGCCCCTAAGGCTAGTGGAAAAACAGGGCAACTCTGTATGTCACAGAAATAATCATAGAAGCAAATTCCAATTACTTCTCTTCCACACCAGAAAAACACTAGATAATGGGCCCCATGCACGCGACGCTTTAAACCACCAAGTTCCACAACTGAGAGAGAGCAAATCCTTAGATGAACTAAAGATAAATTGCAACCACTCGGCA